CATTGCTCACATTTGGAAGCATATATACACTGATCTAAGAATCTACTAAATAGTGTATTTCGATGCAGCCAATGCAGCTTTCAAACTCGAAACACCAGAAATACAACAGAGCAACGACCTTGTGCGCATCAAAAAAATTAATCGGCCCAGCATCCAGCCAAGCCCGGGGATACAAAGCATCCAGACAGGCCATGGGAAACAAGTGGAAGACAAGTGAGCTTACTGGGAGCCAAGTTGAGACATGTGGGAGACAAGTGTGAAATCATGCGGCCAGAGCACTCAGAGGATCCAGAGCTTACTGGGAGACAAGTGGGAGACAAATGGGAGACAAGCCTGAAATCATGCGGCCAGAGCACTGAGAGCATCCAGAGCTTACTGGGAGACAACTGGGAGACAAGTGGGAGACAATGGGAGACAAATGGGAGACAAGTATAAAATCATGCGGCCAGAGCACTGAGAGCATCCAGAGCTTACTGGAAGACAAGTGGGAGACAAGTGGGAGACAAATGGGAGACAAGTATATCAGAGCATCCAGAGCTTACTGGGAGACAAGTGGGAGACAAATGGGACACAAGTATAAAATCATGCGGCCAGAGCACTCAGAGCTAGCCAATCAAACTCCCACCCCCCCACATCAAGTGGAGGGTGCTAGCCAAAAAAATGAGCATGCCATGTACCAATGGTAGGTCGAATCGGCATGGTTCACGTGGTGGTCCTTCCTGGATTAAACATTGACCCTGCGCAACGGTTGGCCTCATTCTGATCAAGTGTGCCCATGAAAGCTTCCAGGGGTGGCCCCACTCTGGTCGACGAAGCCACCATGGACCATACCCTCCTTGTGAACGTAGGCTCTTCGCAAAAATCGAATCCAACTGACATGGTAGTTAACATCACTCCATAAGCTTTCGTTTTTATACAAGTTTTCCTCGTGTTTTGGGTTTGACTGGCATCCGGTAGATTGACATTTCATGTTGTTCATAATTTACAGCTGTTCATATTTTGATTCCTCGTGCAGTCTGCAAACAGTTCTTTTGGCATGGTGACCCCGTTGTTGCAGCATTTGGCTGTTCCAGCGTCCTTCAGCAAGTCTGCTTTTCCAGGAGGGATGCCTGAGTCTTAGATCTGGCTCTCGATTGCAGGATACGGACATGACACCAATTGTATTCAAACCAAGATAACCACCTTTGATAAGATTATAAATAACATCACGATCATCACGCCCATTGCACGTTTCCACTTGGCTGAATGCCTTGTCTTTGGGACTAAAACCATGTCAGTGCTCAGAAATTTGTTTGCTTCGTATTTTTTCTTTAAAATTGGCTGGGCCAGCTTCCGAGTGTCAGACTTATATATACAATATTTTTGATTTTTGTTGGCTAAACCGTAAGTGTTCATAGAGAAGACAGGCTAGGTGATTGGACGCTGTATAATGACAGTCCATCTTACACCATTTCAATTAGAGTCAGAGGGTGCGTCACTACAGCACCAGGGTGACCTGCATATCTTTGGTGGTGCACGTCCTATGGAGGAACAGTCTTGTCTTTCCATTCCTCTTGTATGAGACCGTCGAAGTCACCGACTTCTTCCAACCAGGTCCAGAAGTTCTGGCTGTGACAAAGGTCATAGCATCCGTGCAGGATGGGTCGTTCGTTCGCATTCATAGTAGCAGCATCGGTCTTGGGTAGCACCTCAAACGGTCACCTTGCTGCCTGGCGGTCACCCGACTTCGCGGTGTGAGCCCCACCACTGTTGGCGGCGGCCGGGCCCACACGGTTCTGGCGTGTTTGGCCGGTCCATCGTGCCTGAGGCGTTTGGTTTCACTCGCTACATGAGTCTGGACTCGCTGAACCTGGATACGCTGGGCGAGCCCAGTTGGAGGGGAGGGCGTGAGACTGGTGAGACTGGTGAGATGAGACAACACACCCAGTCTCCTCACCTGAAGAACATGGTTGGTAAGGTCGATGGGACCCCAGAATGGATCAGGTGTGTCCATGGGTCATTCCTTGCTTGCCTCCACCCGTCCCCAACACTTGTGGCCAAATGGCATTCGCCGCGAATTGCTCGAAGTGAATCACTTGGCCTTGGTCAGGTGACTTAGTTGAGCTCAAATCCATCCAGAACCACTGTTTCAGATGGAGCTTCTTCAAACCGTTGGAGATCCCTTCGGCTGTGAGAAGTCCCATCTCAAAGAGGGGGCCGACCCACCCGTGCGACGCCAGGACGCCAGGTAGATGTCTCATCTTTCGAATTTGCAGAACTCCTCTCCTCCGCCAAACGTGGAACCGTTTCCTGAGCATCTGAACCCATGCGTAACCGGGTTACCCGGAACCGGGGGTCGAACGCCCATCGTTGCGTGCGTGCCGTGTGGCCGTGGTGTGTTGAACCACGCGCACGTTGCACGCGCCCGTTTCGCGGGGCTACTCGACCAGGGCGTGCTACCTGGTTCATGGCACCAACTTCGTGGTTTCCAAGAGGCCGACCTCCTCGGGACGAAGAACGGAGCGTTGTGAGAACGAAGAGAGGAACCGGACCCACCGGCGTCGGAAGGAACATTCCCGCGGTTGGGACCGTTTTTGGAAGATCCGGTGTGACATGGAGCACTGCTAACTACATTGAGAAGGACATTCCATGTTGCAAGGTGTTGCGATGTGAAAGTGAGACTTTTTTTTTTTTTTTAAATTTAGCTTGGGCTTGAAGCAGCCTTCCTCTTTAGGATGGAAGCTTTGCTTGAGACCAACTGTTCCCCAACCCCTCTGAAGGGAATTACCATGTTCTGGTAAACTTAGTATCTGGCCAAAGCAAGCTCTGGTAGATCTGGCGCAGGTACTCCGTCCTAGAGCAAGTGGGTCAAGGCGCCTACGGCATCGTTTGTGCGGCGCAGGTGGGGGGGCTTGGATGGGCGAAAATGAGAGTTGAGGGATGAGAGTTGAGAGTCATTGAAGTCTTGCTATGCTTTGTCCATGCCTTTGCCATGTATTTTTCTGGAGTGGGTCACATATACATCTAGGACACACCCAATTTGGCTCGAAAGGGCTGATGAGACCGGGTTGTTTTCTGAGGATGAAGAGACCCAGGAGAGTGTCGCCATGAAGAAGATCGAGAATGCTTTTGAGCACATCACCTGCCACGCGGCTCAAGCAGAAGCGCTCGTTTGTGGTGACGCGCGCGCGCGTTCGTACCAGACTGCACGCTGTGTTCCAGCCTTCTTCGGTGGACCGGACGGCCGCATTCTTCGGTGGACCGGCGGGGCCGGTGGGGAATTGTGGTGTCGTTGGAAAAGTGCTGGAAGACCGGCGACGGATGCCAGTCGACCACCTTGTCCTGGGCTTCGACGCCAGCACTACACCGCGCCCTTTGGGTCGGGTCGCTCCGCCGGTCGGTCGGTTCCGCGTGAGCGGCGGCCGCCAGTTACGAAGCGGACGCTCCGGGAGCTGCGCATCCTACGGCATTTGCGACATGAGAACCTCATCGATGTGAGGCTTTTGAGAGGGGAGGATGAGGGCATGGGTCGGCATGAGGGCATGCAGGGTCGTTTTCAACAAGTGTCGAAGAGCAGCGGTTCTGCTACTGGAGGCAAAATTGAGATTTCTTGGAGAAGGGGAGAAGGGCGTAAGGGCGTCTCTTGTTGGAGCCACCTGTGTGGTCAAACGTCTGGAACGTTGTAAGCTTGGATCACGAAAGCTAGCTTCAACTAGCTGGAGTTACTCTTGCTTTAGCAAGTTATTTGCTAGGGGATGGAATCGGCTACACAGCGGCGGGTTCAACTCCCCTCTTGGACGTGTCAGATTTGGGAGCATAATAGTTCACATCATGCCGCGCATCCCCATCCGCTTTGGGGCGTGATTAGATGCAGCTAGCTTTCGTCACCAACCCCCGGCCTCCAGTTAAGCTACTTAGCTTTGGGGCTGCTGAGCCGTTTGTGATGCGGACTCTCGCCATTTATGGTGTTCATCAAGATTTCGGGAGATCTTTGTGGGCTGGGTCATGAGTCATTGGCTTTCCGAAGTTCGGAGATTCCCTGCGCACCCAGCGAATGATCAAACCCACTCTACCAAAGTCTCCATCGAACCTGAGTGAACGTCTCCTTCGACAGACTGGAGCCGCTTTGGACGCCAGGAATATTTTCTTGTCGGGGTCCAGGCATGACTTTGAGGAGCGACCGTGGCGCCGGTGGCGACCGGGCTGACCGGACCCAGGACCTATTTCGCTGGGATCACTCCACTTGAGAGAGCGTGGATTTCTATGAAGGACAAGCCTCCTTGACAGGAGATAGATGAGTTGCAAAAGAAAGAGCGCCGCTCGAGCGGCGCCTCGAGCCGCTTCTCGGTGGCTTCCCGAATTCCGCAAGGTCCTCTTAAGCGAGGTTTTGAGGACCGATTTGATGCATCCGGGAGCCTTTTGCGGGGCCTGAAAGAGTGCCAGGACATCTATGTGATCTCTGAGCTGATGGAGACAGCATGGCACTCAGAAATCGATCATGGGAGACCAGGGTCAGAGCAGAACGCAGCCGAAGCCTGCGAGATTACACGCCAACGCAGCCCAGTCAACCAGGATGTCCGACATCTCGGACGAGACGCATCTGTCGGACCATTTGGTTTGTAGATCTTGACGAAGAGATGTCACATGAACATGTGCCTCGAACAACGAGAGGAGGGGGAGAAACAGATCTGATCTACGGATGCAGCCGCACATGATCCGATTTGACCATATGTGTTGTTGAATCGCCAGTCAACCCAGGGGCTCCTGGTTTTGACCCACAGCCATGGCTATGATCTCATTGGTTTCACTGCCTCACATGGCTCACCTCCGGGGCTGGCGTCGATCCGGAGGACTTAGCCTCGATCCTGAAGTCCCAGCAAAGCCTCACGGAGAGAGTGTTCACCTGGGAACGAGACGGGGTGGGAGACTGGCCCAGTTGAGGGAATCGGAGGCATGGAGAAATGAAGAAACGAGGCCCAGTTGAGGTTGATCAAGGCTTCAGTTTTCGGTGCTTTCGGTTTACTTGAAGCTCCTTCCTTCGTTTCTTTAACCAGGCCAAGGTTAACTTTTGGTCGGTGTGGAGAAGTCCTGTGAGATTCCGGTAACTCCCCACCAGAGGCCCCGGGGACAGCAAAAAAGGGCCTGGGTTCCTGGTCAGAGCTGCAGACGACGTTTGGATCGGAATTCCCCACGAACCTGATCCTTCCTCCGCCGTTCCTCCAGGATGACCACTGCCAATTCTTTCTCTATCAGATCCTCCGCGGCATGAAGTACGTCCATTCGGCGCAGGCGGGAAGGGGGG